ATCAGCTGTTCGTCTAACTTGCAAGTTTCTGCAAATTTTCTGTTCGCGTACTATTTGGGATATTTCTCTCTTGTGAGCGAACAGATGACATTTCGCCGGAATTTGGCAGTTGGTTGGTTTCTGCTGGAGATTTTAAACGAACGCACCTATTTATTGAAGGTGTAGCAATGATGGATCGTTACGGCCCATCTCCACAGGCAAAAGTTTTTGCCTACCAACTGTCATTTTTATTGCCTGATAAAAATTTTATCAGCGGCAATATTTGTGCGTGGGCATTTTTTATCTTGATAAAAGCATTTATAAGATGGCAATTTTTGCCGGTTTTCATCAATTAAAAAGTTTAAAAAGTATACTATTTCACACCCAAGCAAATAATAACACATATTTTAATAGAAAACAGTTCATTTTTGCTTTTATATTGAAATATCGATAATGTTGTCTCCACGAAGCTATTGCGCAAATGAAAATGTAGCTATCAAAGTACTAAATTGCTGGCAATATTTATCAAGATAAAAGCTCTGATAATTATTGCTTGCCAAGAGCAATATGCGGTCTCCATGGGCAAAATTTTGCCTGATAACATTATCAAGATAAAAACTTTTGCCTGTGGAGACAGCAAGTTATATGGATCGCAAAATATCTAGAAGTTTTGAAATCCGGATCAGGGATCGCGGATCGCGAAATAAATATTGAAGGTGTAGCACATTAAAAACGCGATCTATACATTTCGTTACTACATTTTGTACTCATAATGTGAACATCGAAAACATATTCGCTCAAGGCTCTTAAAACCTTACAAAACAAATTGAAGGCATTTAAATTAACATTAGAAATTTTAAAAGAATAGTGGAATGCATTTTCTGTAAATTATTGGAACAAAATATATATATTTTATTGCGCCATAATAAGCATGAGGCACAAAAATTATGCAAATACTGACGCGATAATTATTGAACGTTAAGCACATACTCACGATCCATCAATATTTTTAGATCCATCAATATGGATCACGATCCAAATATCGCGATCCGTATTGATCGTGTACCAGGTGCCTTTAGCACACACTCATAATACTTCTATATTGGCAGTATCACCCGATTTACATGATTCAAGTGCTTGAAAGCAATTCTTGCTCATTCTCCTTTGTGTTTTCTATTTGCTTTTACACGTTTCAATTCTGTTGAATTCAAGTTTTTGGTTCTTTAAATGGGAAGCAACGAAAATGCTAAAAGCAAAGCAAGAAAGTTGAAACGACTTGACGGTACAGACGCATGTGTACTCGTCCCTTTTCTTCTCACCCCCTCTCTTCCACATGCGAGCAGAATTGAATTCAATACTTGAACTGTGTAAGAGCAGTCTAAGCTAACATCTGAATGTGTAAGACTGCTTTTACACAGTTCAAGTATTGAATTCAATTCTGCTCGCATGTGGAAGAGAGGGGGTGAGAAGAAAAGGGACGAGTACACATGCCTCTGTACCGTCAAGTCGTTTCAACTTTCGTGCTTTGCTTTTGGCATTTTCGTTGCTTCCCATTTAAAGAACCAAAAACTTGAATTCAACAGAATTGAAACGTGTAAAAGCAAATAGAAAACACAAAAGAGAATGAGCAAGAATTGCTTTCAAGTACTTGAATCATGTAAATCCGGTGTAAGCATACCGAAATAAGGCGAGACGGCATGAACGAAAGACACATTTTTGGTTTATGGCGAGACGGTCTAGTACCGTTTTTATGACTGTATTGTGTACGTGAGTGCCGTTTTGTGTATGTGTTGTGTACATGTTTATTTATAAAAGTATGCGTTCCTTTCATGATCCACTTTGACAGATGTGTGTGAGCGTCCAGAATTACTTTGTTAGCTCCCCCAATTACGATCGCGAACTACCCAATTCCCACGAGCTACCCAATTCCCACGAGCACATTCTTAATTAGATTTGGCAGTTCTCTGTATCTGTGTTTTGTTCTTGTTTTCTTCACTACAAAATTGATGCAAAATGTAGGTTCTTCCTTAAAATTTATAAGTTTCCGTATTAAATTAGGGATGTACACATTTATAAACTTTACTTTTCGTACTCAAAAAAATGCAAGTTTTGATTTGTGGGCTATTTTCGATAAATTTACGATAAAAATTAGAGACGGCACCGATTTGTTCGTAATTCGCCTGGTAATTGTATCTGAATTATCAACAAATGAGGTAATACGATGTTTCTACGCTTCGTAATTCGCTCTTTAAGTTACACCCGATTTACATGATTCAAGTACTCGAAAGCAATTGAAGCTAATTCTCTTTTGTATTTTCTATTTGCTTTTACACGCTTCAATTCTGTTGAATTGAAGTTTATGGTTTTTTAAATGGGAAACAACGAAAATGTCAAAAGCAAAGCAAGAAAGTTGAAACGACTTGACGGTACAGACGCATTTGTACTCGTCCCTTTTCTTCTCATCCCCTCTCTTCCACATGCGAGCAGAATTGAGTTCAATACTTGAACTGTGTAAAATTAGTCTAATTCGCAAAGTAATTTGTTAATTACCATGTTTCCACGCCAAACACTTGTAAATCGTTNACGGATAAGTACGACAATGTCGTTTGCTAATCGTTGTGCACGCATTGTTTGTTTGCATTTTATGGGGAAAAAATAGTGAAAAAGTTAATATTTGCATTAAAATTGCATAAAAATTAGTATGTTTTGCATAAAATCTGTGGAAATTATTAAAAAGTGGATAACTGCATTAAAATTCAATAAATGTGAGCATTTTAGCTATAAAATATGATGAAATTGTAAAAAGTCTGTGTGCATGCACAAAACACATTTCAGGAAAAGAAAATAAGAGATATAACTGAAAAATTATGTCTAGTATTGTTGCAGCACAGTCTATATTTTAAAAATTGCAGGTTTTTGTAAATATTTCGCGAAAATATCAACCAGAAAAACAGAAAATACCTGCTCCAAGTGAATTTTTAGAAGCCAAATGAATTAAATTTTCACGACCGAATGTGCGAAAGTATAGTCGTCATGTAATCGTTGCATCATGATTGTGACAATGAAGCAACTATGACTGGCCGACCAATGTGCAGAAAGCCTAACTCTTACCGTTTTTTCTGGCAGGCTGTAGGTGTGTTTTTGGTCAGTGTATTGATGTTTTTGGTTCAGTGGGTTAATGTATTTTGAATAAGTTGTAATAGAAATAAAAGAAATTGTAATAGAAATGAAAGAAATTGTAAAAGATAAGAGCACATGCCAAAAAACAGGTGATCTCAGCTGTAGGCATTTTTTGGCAATCAGCTGATAGTTTTTTTACTTATGAAACTGTACGATGGCTCTACTTCTTGTTTTAAGCTATTTATTATTATATTTGTGTACGGCAAATATCGAAGGTGGACCATAAATTTATCATCAAAGATTTTAATTTATGTAGAGAATATTTTATTAGTTAATTTTCTAACAACTGGAAAAAGTGCCAGCACAGAGGACAAGCCCGGTAAAAACTTCGATATATTTTCGATAAATATTAGAGAAGGCACCGATTCGTTCGTGATTCGTATGATAATTCGATCTGAATTACCTACAAATGAGGTAATTCGCTCTTAAAATTATGTATGGCGAATTACGCAATTCGAAGGGTAATTCGAGTGCGAATTAAGAATGAGAGAGCGAACTACGTAATTGGGGTGGCGTGGGAAATCCGAATAAGGGCCAAAATATATATGAAAATTCGTGCGCAAAGGTTTTATTAATATTCCTACAAGTCCATTAAAGCTCCTTCCCCGCCAAAAAGAGTTGCCGTCGCACATTTACAAAACTTTTCATAGGTACACAATCAAATAAAGCCCAGGTGTAAGTTCCAATTTAAGCATTGGTAATTGTAAGAGCTCAGATAAATACATACCTATTTTGTAATACAAATGTTTCACTCCACGTTGAATTATACTGAAAGCATTTATTTATTTTAGACGTCTTGTACGTGAATATAACGGCCGTCTTTTCTTTTAGTGCTTGGCCGAGATTTTCCTCCGATTTGTGGTGTGCCTTTGTATTGTCACACAAGGGGAGGAACTTACAATTTTTCGCANGCCGCACAGTGTCACGGCAGTGGCCAAAAATGATATATGTGAACATTCAAATTTCCAAAAGTTTTTTTCTTTATTAACAAATAAACACTTAAATTAGATGAAATCTAAAATTTTTCCTGGATATGTGAACTAGTATTTTTTTTATAGTAGTTCAATTGTGATAGTTGTTAACCATGTAGTATCATCATTGAAAAATCTGGAATTTTACATAGTTTTCAAACGCTGTTATTTCAAATAAAAAAAACATCAAAACTGATGAGAAATTAAATCATCTCTACATTCCATACTTTATTACACCAAA